TTTAGGTGATGCTGCAACAAAGTGTTCATGCTGACTCTCATCCTTGAAATGTTATTTGCTAGATCAAAGCAAACTGAAGCAACTTCACTTCTCAAAAATGTCTTCATGCCCTCTCCTTAGTACATCCTTGGGTATCTTTTTAGTTCTTGCTTGATAGCCCTACAAAAAATTCCTGTTGCTTGAATTTCTATTTCCCTAATTATAAGGAAGGCAGAGTTCTTCTTCATTGTCTTGACACTTTCATTTTCCTTCTGTAAAGGTCCATTACCTCCCTCCATTTCTTAATTTGTACTAATTAATCCTTTATACATGTTACAAAAATTTTCCCTGTGCACCTTATAATATCTTTTGTCCCACAGACATATCACAGATTGACCAGTCTTTCATGATTTGGGGTCTTAGTCTTGCCTAAATACCCACAAAACATTTTCCAATGTAACAGATCCTTTAACACAAAAGTTGCATAGGGTGTTTGTTTTTGAGTTCTAAAATCCAAATAAATGTAATTTCGACTACTGGGAATAAAGGACTTCCTTTTCAAATAATCATTTTTTGCTACACACTATGTTGAATAATTATTTCTTAGCTGCCTGAAATACCAACTTTGTACTAAGTCTCTCTATATAAGTAGTCTGTTACTGGAGTCAACATTGTTCCTCTCTGACTCTGTTCCACCCGTGCTCACCATTTATACCTCTGCAACACTGCACTATCTTCTGAAATCTAGTATAGCAAATCTTTCATCACTATTTTTCTATTTGAAAATTTTCTTGGCTATCTTAAATAGGCATTTATTCCTCTGGATAAATTTCAGAAAAATTTCACTCATTATCCAAATTCCAAAATTAATTCCCACTGGAATTTCAACTAAAATTAACAGTTCAATCTGTTGCATTACAATCTTTATAATGCCTTTGCTGCAGAAAACATGTGATTGTCCAGTTAAGTAACTTTACAATTTTTTTATAAAGATTTTACTTAAATTCATAAAACTGCCATGTGGCCCTTCCTGGTGGTGCAACAGGTAAGGATGCAGCACTATACACTAGCCACAACCACTTCAGTGCAAGTTCAATCCCCAGCCCCTGGAGGTAACCCATATGGCGCACAGACCTCTCCTGACCCGCCTGCTGTTACTTTCAGCAGTATACTTTGTCCATCTGCCTGTCCTGCTCCCCACTCTGTCTCTGGTGAATCCTCTCACTGTCCCTACACCTCTGACTGTACCCCAGTTCTGTATGCATAAAGTCTTTTTAAAAAACTGCCATATGTTTAAGTCTTCAAGTTTTGCTCCTATTAAGAACAGAATCCTACTATTTTAAGAGTAACTACAAGTCATTTTGTTATTAGCAAGATTATACCTTTCCAATTGTTTAACAAATTCTATTTCTATCCAGTGAACTGTGTATCCACATCCTATAATCACTTGTGTGGAGTTTCATTATTTTCATCTCTATGAGTTCTTTACGTGTTGAAGGCATTAACTCTTCACTTTTGGGTTTATTCCTTGTCACAAGGAAATATTTTTTTCATATTTTGTGGCTTGGTTTTTAATCCAAGTATTGTTTTCCCTTCCATCTTAAAAGAAGGTTTAAGTTCTTCTGTTGTCTAATTTAGATTCTAACTAATAACTTGACTGCCCCGTGGCTGCCAGGACCTAACTCTATTCCTCAACACACCAGCACAGTAGGTATTTTATTCACTGAAAACACTCCAGCTCAAGTGTGTCTGGTCACAGAGACTGTGCTCCATCCACCTTAGCAAACAGAGCTTGTTCAGATGTTTAGTATTTACTTTCATATGTTCTTTATGATGTGGGCACATTCAGGATGATTTATCATTCTTACATACACCACCACATACAGTTGTTTGTTTTGGGGTGCTGAATAGTTCCAGCTAAGCCATGCAGATGCACTCAAGTCATAAGCCTCTTTTTAATGAATGTGACTGCAACCTGTTTAAATATCAGACAGGCTTGTACTGCTTCATTGCTCATAATTATTCTGCAGTTTACCTAAAGGACATCTCTGTACTGTTTTTAAACATCACATCCAGGAGCATGGCCTACACATGGGACATTATATCCTATCTTCTAGTATCTCCCACCATCTCTTCCATGTAGATTGCACTTGTCTCAATAAGATGGTGCTTAATTTTTATGTTGCATTGTGATTATTTTAGTAGTTTCTTTCCATTTTAGTTTTTGCCAGTTCATTTCTGATAACCAGAAAACTATAAATTTTATACATGCATTGTGTAGCCAGCCAGTCACTGCCTTAACTTTTGTGCCAAGTAATTTTATTACTCTCATTGTTGTAGTCAACAGTACTTACAAATATATCTCTTCTTTTCATGTTAGAGCTTCACCTTACTCTTATTTCATTTATTACTACTTTGGCAAGACTTAAAACAATCACATTAAACAGTATCCCAATTTCTCATTCGACTTCTCTGTTTATATGGACAATTAACATTTATGTGTACATTTTGCATTAAAGAAATACCTTTTATTTCAACTCTTTAAATAAGAAACAAGGACTTAATTTTAATTAAGTATCTATTTTGATCTTATTTTTGCTGGTAATTTAAATTCAATGTGAACTCCAAGGGAAAGACCAACTCTCTTTTAGCTAAGACCTCTGAAGTGGCCTACTAGCCTCCCCCACTTCCATTGCCACTCCTGAAAGCTCCACCACATTCTATACTGAGCAGCTGGAGTGCTCGTTTTAAAAATGCAAATCTGATTATGTCATTCCCTTGCTTAAAACCCAACCCTTGTAATGGTTTCCCATTTCACTCAGAATAAAGTGAAACATCCTTAACCTGCCCTACAAGACCCTACATGATCTGGCCCCCTGCCTAGCCACACTTCCCCCTCACCCACTTCAACCTACCCACAAGTCATTCTTTCAGTTTCTGGAATGGGCAATGCTTTTTCCCCCTCCAGAACCTTCCCACATGCCATTCTCCTGCCTGGGAAATTATCCCCCACTTCACTACAGTAACACCTACTCACCCTTCAGAACTTAGCTCAAATCTTCTTGCAAAAAGGTCTTTCCTGGGGCCTGTCACCTCAGTCTAAAATCTGGTCTCCTTTTTATACTTTCTCTTATTGCTGGAGCTACTTAACTGTCAGAACTGATCACAGTTTGTGATTACACATGTTGCTGTAACTGTGTTTAATCTGATTCCACACACACACACATACACACACACACACACAATTTATAAACTCCAAGAGAATAGGGACAAAATGGTTTTGCTGGTCGTGCTACAAAAGCATTCATTTATATTTATATATCTGAAAGAAAGAAAACTACCTACACAGCACCTAATTGCTCCTCTTACATTTAAAACAATAACTATCATTAAATCACTCTTAAATTGTTACACTCCTTTGGATTCTGCTTAAAAATTCAGTAAGAATCCATTTTACCTGAAGGACAGGAAAGCTAGTTGAATCTGCTGTTGCCACAGGGAAATACACATACAAATGTGCAATACTAGGAAATACATTTTGTTTAAATAGCTTAAGAGTTTTCTGTAGTGTTCAATTCATCGATACTTTCTTCTCAATCAACTAATCGCTAAGTCTTATAATTGAAGGTATATAAAGCACCAGGAAAATGCTTTGTAAAACACTCTTTAAGAAGTCTAATGTAATAACACTGCTTGACAAAAATTAATGTAACAAAATTATGAGTTAGGAAGGGTGTTGTCTAAGAAAGAAAGCCATCTGAAAGTAAGTTGGCTAAGCCTAGTATTCTGTAGTACAAACATCTGGTCAAAAAAGAAAATGTCCATTATACTGCAAATAAAAAATCCTCTTCGATCCCAAAACCAACACTTATATACCAGTTTACATGCTACAGGGCAATCTCACATACATCCTGTGGGCAAGCTCTATGGAGCAGATAAGAGCAAAAGAAAACTGAGGCTTAAAGAGATTAAGTGTCCTCCCCAAGGTCACAGGACTTAAAAGTAGTAGACTCGTAATTAAATGGGGGAGGGTGGAGGCTCCCATGTCAATTTCTTAACCAAAGAGAACTTCCATCATAAATGCTAGGGTCTGTAATTAGTAACTTGTGCTCCTTTCATTAAAATTTCATTTCACGGGAGAACCACCACCGATAAAAAAGCTGCTTTAAAAATAAAGCTAAAACTTACATTTCCATCGATCCAGGAAATGGCTAAACCAGGGTATTCCCAATTATGGGACATAATGTAGCAGTTCTTCAAAATGAGTTAGCATTATATAAGCGAAAATCTAAGACTTGAGTACACTAGCACTTTTTAAAACAAAGATAACAGAAGTACTCACACACTTAAAAGTATTTTAAAAGATCCAGAAGGAAACACACCAAACCTATAACAATTGCTATCTCTGTGAAGAGGGGCTGGTAGTCACCCTTCAGCCATGTGTGTGATATTGTAATTTTTACAAAGAAAATACATCAGGTATTTTATCTTAAACATTGGGGTTAACCTGTGGGCAGAACAAGGTTAGTGTTCTGCTCTAAAATGCACCTATAAAGGACAGAGGGACTCCCCCCAAAAAAGAAAACAAGAGTATGTCCATACAATTAATTCCTACTGAAACAATAAACGGTCTAAATATCACAAAACGTCCCTGTGAAAAGGCAATCGCACACTTTTGTTTTCTTGTAAATGCCTGGTCTCCTTTGTTGCAATGAGACATCCCACTAACAAACTAGCAACTAGGAGAATCTAGGTAGGCTCCTCCTAGAGAGATTAGTTGTTAAGAGTTCAGAGAGAAAGCTTTCACAAAGGAGCTGAGTTTTGAGGGAAATAAGAGGTGACTTGGCAGAGCGATGCGGGCAGATTGATCCAGATGGGAAACTGCCTGGGAGGTGGCTAGACACCGAGTTAATCAGAAGCAGGGAACAGTCAGGAAACTGGAGCCGAGTCCTGAAAGAGGAGAGGATTCCTCGGGAGGTGGGAGTAGAGAGGGAGCTGGCCGGCGTTGCCAGCCACTTTACCTGGGGGAGAATCCGGCGGCCCTGGCGATGGTCAAACAATGGAGGCGTCCAGCGGCAGCCGCCTTCTGGGCCGGGTGCGCGAAGGGCTCCTCATCACCTGGATCGCGTCCTCGGCGGTATCGGCCGGGACACCGGGCGCTCTGAAAAACAGGCCATCACACCCTGCAGCTCGGTCCTCCGCGGCCCCCGCGCCCCGCTCCCCCGGCGCGGCCATTACCGCCTCTCCCGGGACCCGCCTGGAAAGGCTCCAAGGCGCGGCGGCCCGGGCGGCGAAGGCGCTCGTGCTCCCCCTGCCCTCCGCTCCAACAACAATGGAGCCCGGCTCGAGAGTCCGGCTC